CAACACCCTAGTATTGCACAGAATAAAACATAGTTAATCTATAAAGTCCTTGCCCAACTGAAAAACTGTTTAAGACAAATTTAATAACAATCCCCTCCAGTACACTCAGCAATAACAAGACCCTCTAGTACACTCAGCATTAACAAGACCCTCCAGCACACTCAGCAATAACAAGACCCTCTAGTACACTCAGCAATAACAAGACCCTCCAGCACACTCAGCAATAACAAGACCCTCCAGTACACTCAGCAATAACAAGACCCTCCAGTACACTCAGCAATAACAATCCCCTCCAGTACACTCAGCAATAACAATCCCCTCCAGTACACTCAGCAATAACAAGACCCTCCAGTACACTCAGCAATAACAAGACCCTCCAGTACACTCAGCAATAACAAGACCCTCCAGTACACTCAGCAATAACAAGACCCTCCAGTACACTCAGCAATAACAATCCCCTCCAGTACACTCAGCAATAACAAGACCCTCCAGTACACTCAGCAATAACAAGACCCTCCAGCACACTCAGCAATAACAAGACCCTCCAGTACACTCAGCAATAACAAGACCCTCCAGTACACTCAAAATGAAATGAGCAGAAAAGTTAGGACAGACAATTTACCTTTAATATATGGTACTTCACCCGTCATAAGCCCCTCCATTCCTTGGGTATCAGTACACCCCTTTATTTTTGACATTTAATGAGTTGAGGGTATCCCCGGTTATAGGCCCAGAGTGTTAACATTTGTTAAAATATGCGTGTAAAAAGTGTGTTTTATTGCATAAAAATTGTGACTGGTACAGTAGTTCTCTTTATGAAGTGTGTGGTGGCCCTGACAAGGGCTGTTTGGTTCATGCTTTTACGAGAAACTTGCATTAATTTCAGTGGCAAACAAAGCAACATGGTTCACACTTTTTCTGTTCTATTATTACCCATGATGAACCAAATGTTGCAATTCTGAAGTACTCCACATCTCCTTGAGTGGTAGCTTTCAAATCGCCAAAAATGCGACCGTCAAGTCAAGTGAAACCTAGTCACTGGACATCGTTTTACTTTCCTGACTAATCACAGTGTTTCTTGAGAGTATCGTGAATGGGGTATGAGCGAGTAAACTTTTCTTCGACCTGACCTGGTGGTGACTGTGAAAATTGTTAAATATTATGCGTATCATCATTTAAAAAAAAAAAAAAAAATTCTGTTTTTTCCTCAAAATCAGTGTTAATTAAAAATACCATCGTCAATATTGAGAAATTTCCAGAAAATATTGTCAGTACTGCACAGTATTTTGATTTGCTAATGACAGACTTGGCCTTGGAGGATGTTGTCTCAGGTCAAACCATGCAAAAAAACATTTCACAATGAAGATAATGATCTTGCTTTTGACTGTTTTTCCCTGAGACCCTAATCATTTTAACATCGTTCAGACAGTAGGTAAATCATATTGTTAAAACGTGTGCATTTTTGTGAACATATTTGTTTCTTCATTGTAAAAGTGTTGTGGAAATCAATGACAACACAACTGGTAATTTCGAAATTTTTCTTTCCTCCACATGCCGGTAAAACATACCCGGCATGGTGAAGAAAAGATATACTGAGTAATTTGGATAATTTCCCGAGGGTGGTAACATGGTTACAATGTTAATCCCGAAAAATCTAGGATGGTCCTTGGGTATATGCCCACCACTTATTTTCCGATTTTATATGTTTAGGCCCCTGGAAATACAGTATCACATTTTTTATCTAAACAGCAACATTTTTGCTTATTGTAGGAGTGATGTGGAAGGGTAAATTTAAAAACAATTTGTTTCTTTCCATCTACATCTATATGAATTGTATGTACCGGTATATACGTGTAATGCTCTGAAAGGAATCACAGTTTACCAACCTGTCTTCCCTGCCAGATCTCCCTGTTCTTTGCCATGCCTGTGATTTAGACACCCACTGTACTTTTAAGAGATCAAGACCACTGCCAGGTTGATAACTCCTACAAAATCAAATGTGCAAAATATTGCATGTCATATGCATTCTGAACATATTAGGGATAAGATCTGTTGTCTGAAATTTGTGTTCATGCACTAGAGTAAACAGTGGTTTGTATGAGCTAAAGAAAGCCCAAACTTTTTAAGAATGACTTCAGTCATTTTGACGAGGATTACTCAGTAGAGTAACCATGGTACTAAAAAACAATACCAAAGTGAATTCAGAAAGTGCAGATTGCAGAATAACAGGAATTACCGGTAGTATGTAGTCTCATCATCAGTTAATTTTTTCTCAAGAACAATGTTCCTTGATGTGCTCGTGTTGATTGTCATGTCGAAAATGGCATGTCGAAATAATCATGAATATAATAATAAGTCGTCGAAATGAACATTGAATACAATGGCGTTTTGGGCACTTAGCCCAGGCTAAGCCTGTGCTAAGGAACTAGGCCAGGTGTTAAAAACTAGCCAGGTTTAATCCGTACTTGGCGCTTCTTAGCCTGTGCTGAGTGTTCACACACGTTCTCTTAGCTAAGGTAAGGTAAGGTAAGGTATTTGATCTCTTAGCAGATGCTAAGAAGCTGTGCAAAAATGCTACTATAAATAGAATGTAAACAAGCAGCCTGTGAGCTATGACAGCTCTGCTGTAAGCAATGTACATTTCAATTAAAGAACTGTAGATATCATTAAAAAATGAACAAATTTAAGAGAGGTCTACCTGAGGCACCTATATGTATAGTATCAAAGCAATCAGACTTGTGGTTTTCAACAAGAAGTTTAAAATATCACTTTTTACCAAAAATGACAAAAATATTTATCAAAATTAGAGAATTGAAGATATCAACATGAAATAAAAAAATATGAGAGAGGTCTACTTGAAGTACCCATAAGTATAGTATCAAAGCAATAAGACTTGCAGTTTTTAACAAGAAGTTGAAAATATCACTTTTTACCAAAATGACAAAAAAATTCATCAAAATTAGAAAATTAAAGATATCACTACAAATTGAGTAAATCTAGGAGAGGTCTGCTAAAGGTACATATACACCAAGTATCAAAGCATTCAGGCTTGTAGTTTTCAAGGAGAAGTCGAAAAAGTAAAAAATTTGACGCAGACGACTGCGGACTATCACTCATATGATAAGCTCCACTCGACAAAGTCAACAGCAGAGCTAACAAAGCCAAGGTTATTTGTTTCTCCACTATGATGTTTATGAACTTGATCATGCTTATAGGGTGAAAGCATCAAGCATTAACACTTAGTGAAGAAAACAAAAACTTTTGTTGAAACCATTTAGAAATTTACTGCATGCACTTATTATTGCAAAACTGCACTAGGAGCTATTTAGACCGTCAATTGACTATTTTCTAAAATTCTGACAAAAAAAGAAAAATGCACACATTTTTACTGTCAAGCAAGATGACAAGAAACACAAATTTATCATTCTAAAGCCTACACACTCTAAATTATTATTTATACAGAGATTTGTCTGTCATCATGTAAACTGTTTAAAAAATTCATTAAAACTATTAACAACAGGCTTACTTGGCTTTCACTTTACCCGTATCTATAACATGCTTAATACCCTGTATTGTGATAGATGTCTCTGCTATGTTAGTGGCAAGAATCACCTTCCGACTACCCTGAAATAGAAACAATAATTTGTTTGTGTACTTTTACTGTTTCTCTGTTCATTGTTAAATATTTCCACCTTATTCAAATGTAGTTTTTGCTTTTAATCTGTTTATCACCGTAAATTTTATATATAGGCTGTCGCACTGTCCATTTGCATCCGAAGATAAAATAATGTTATGAAATATATGTGCATGTGTCTCTGTTAACAAGATAGCTTATGAGTAACGTTGTCACAGTGTATCGTGAGCTACCGCGAATCAGTGAGCGGTATGAAAACAAAAGATGTGCGACACCTTATTTCGTGAATTTGCATAAACTTATCACCATAAAGTATCAACTCAGGCAGTAAGGGATTGCACTAAACTTTGCTAAACAATGCTCAATAGAATTATTGTATTGCCGTGGTACATACTTCAGAAAAAGAACACTCAATATCGATTCGTACATGAAACCGACTTTCAAGCAGCCAACAACAACAACTTAATTGCTAACATTAATAACAAGCAGAAGAAAGCAATGCCATGCACTTACAGCTGGAGTTGGTTGAAATATTTTTAATTGTTGACCCGGTGGTAGCGCAGCATACATTGGGCACACAAGAAGTTGTGGACAATCTGAGAAAACAGGAAATAATTTATCTTGAGTACACAGTATGAAAGAGATATTATCAATAACGGGGGTCATCAGGGCTGTGTACGGCCAATGCCAGGGACAGTAAAATGTATGTGTGCATTTCAAATATGTTGCTTTTTTACATACAATTTAATTGCATTAAAAATACATATTATTTATAATAATAATATAGTTAAATTTGCATTCCCACTGTGTGGTACCGTGACCATACTAGTATGTTAGAATTGTGGATGAGATAAAGAAAAATTGGCTACAGAGTATGAATTTAGGAGATTTTCCTACTATAGACTACAAGTACATGTAAATCTGTAAAGTACATCTGATCCAACAGTAGATGAATGGAACATGAATAGACGTGAATGTCAATGACATGTTTTTCAGTATATGTGAACAAGGCTTATTACTCTCAAAATAAATTGGGCAAAAAATTTAAGACAGGAAAGTTTTAACCAAAGATACTAAAAAAAGAAGGGACATGCAACTGCGGCAAACATGAAAGGCAAGTAACGGAAGTTCCGTGCAATGTCTCTTGGGGGGAAGGAATCGCTATACAAACAGATGTTTGGCATCCCGCGTCGTCACATGATCAATTTCTTTTTCTACGCCGTGAATGAATGAGTGGCCGAGTGTGGGACCCCTTTTCAGCCAAAGTTTCCTTTGATGACACTTATTAAACTTTTTTGTTAATAGTATATAGTTCATAAAATTTGCTGATATTATATTTTTGATTTAAAATTCTACTTGCAAAAGGTGTGGTTCCTAATTTCTTTGACGAATTCAATTGGAAAGCATAAACAATTAGTTTGTTCCAGGATGGTGGACCAGTAATCAACTTTGTCAATGTTTTTGTGGAGAGGGGAGGGGTAAATTTTTCTTTTTATTAATGTTGTGTTTTTAAATACAGTAGGCAAAAACTGTTTTTCTAAGTTGAAAAAAAATGTAAACTAAACATAAACAGCGAGATCCATAGTGTCTCGGCTATGAATACATTTTTTCTCAACCTAATTACAACTCTATTTAAATTTTCAGTTATTGTAGCTCATAAAATTTAAATTTTCAAAAGTATATATATTTAATAAATGTACTGGTCGTAGTTAAGCCAATGTACATGTCTAAGTGTTTGAGGTTGTGACTTTCCATCTTCTTTGCCTTCGTGTTATTTGAACTAGGTTCATCCAAATCAAAATCACTGTCATCCCCATCTTCACTTGTCCAATCATCATCAGAAACATGTTGTAAATTGTTGAAAACATCTGCAAATTCACTGTCGTAACTTTCTGAACATTCAATGACATGCGAGGAAGCCATCTTGAAAAACAAGCTGTATTACTAAATTACATAATAACGAACAGGCCACACAGCAAAGACACTCAGTTCGCAGCCAGTGGTCTAATTTGCATATTCTCAAATTACTCGCGTTAACGCAAATCGGGAGGTTTCATTAAAGTAAAAATAAACAATCCGAGATGAGACATGATTTAATCTAATTGGATTAAAGATTGATTAAAACAAATGCCAACAGACTTTACATCAATGAAAAGACCGAGTTGCATGTCCCTCTTTTCTAGTGTCTTTGTTTTAACATATAGTGATGTTTCACATATTTGTGAATGCAATTTTAGTATATTATATGAATATTTATCACATGTATTATGCAAAAGTCATTTGGTATTTTCAATATCACACCCCAAATATCAAACTTTATCAAGAATTTAATTGCTCCTTACATGCAATTTGAGATTGTGCTAAAATAAGTAGACTACTGATGTCCCATACCTGAAGGTAAATCCTTGGCAATATCTTTTACTGATTTCAACATTGCTTCTATTTCCTCTTGTCCCGTCAAGAAAACAAGAATATCATGGCTGTAGGAATGAAAGAATTAAATTAAACTAAATAATTTAACTCAGATGGAATATTGCAGCATTATGAATACATCAGTGCGAGGACGATAAATTTCTCTAAATGTTTATTTAATTTTAAATATTTGTTGTATTCTATTTCATGTCTCCCATATCCATAGCATGGAGAGTTCTGTGATGTTATTTTTTTTTAGTAAAGTTAGGTATTACCTTTGTTAATGTAAACACAAGCAGTCTTTCTTACCCAGGAGGTTCATCTTGATGTATCTGAAACACTGTTACTATGGCAGCGAACAAGTAATCGCTCTGTGGCATACTGGAGTAGAGTAACTACAAACAACCAAATGAAAACGTTCAGCCTATGTAAACACACACATATCATATGCAGCTTCTGAGAAATGATTTAGGCGAGGGTTCTCCGAACCCGCCTATTCACATAGTTCATACTCACCATAGACTCCGGTCAGTCAAAATGACTATTTTGAACTGTGGGCATTAATCAGCGATTCTGCCGGTGACGGAGAGATAGAATCCAGGTCAGGGGAAGCCCCATGACCTCAAGATTCTTTTACATGGCAGCGCCACAGGTAGCCGTCCATCACTCTGGTTCCTTTCTCTCCGCGTCAAGGACTTAGACCAACGCGATGGAAAGAATGGGGAGGTTGGGGAGGGGACCCGGAGTCTATGGTGGGTATGAACTATGTGAATAGGCGGGTTCGAAGAACCCTCGCCTAAATTCACTATGTTCAATTACCCACCGGACTCCGGTCAGTCAAAATGACTATTTTGAACTGTAGGCAGAGTCAGACACCGATAGGTGGCGGGTTTTTCCGAGCAAACAGAAAAAAAAGGAGAATGATGAAAGACATTTCCCCAGTCCAGGATGAAAACAAACCCAAAAACCTAAGTTAAGACCCAAGAAGGGTGGTGTCTTACCTTGCCTGCGCTGTCCCCGAAGCAAGAAGCCAATGCTGCTGTGGTGACAGGGTTCGGTGTGCCCGAGAAAGCTAGACCCAAGCCGAATTTGGGGGTGATAAGCTTGAAGTAAGACCGAAACAGTTTGCATGAGGGCATAGGCCGACAGAAGCGAAACCTGGGAGCTTCCAGGAAGTGCTAGTGGAACAGACAATCTGCCCGCAAAAATGCCGAGACTGACTTGTCGCCTATGCGCAGAGGCCCCTGCGGTCGTCCAGGCTGGGTCAGCAAACAAGGACCTGACCCGCTACGACGGGGCCTAACCTGAAGAGACCCTGCTCAATAGATTGGGTGTCTCTTAGGTAGTAGTTGATGAAGACGTTTTGCGTTCTCCAGAACCCTGCCCTCAGAATGTGTTTGAGGGGGGCACCTGACGCTAGCCTAGTGAGTTAGATCGCAGGACCTCATGTTCTCGTACTTGGTGTCTCTGCAAGGTCTGTCTTGAGGAGGATAATGTATTATAGACCTCCAGTACAGTCACAGTAATCCACCTGGAGGTGGAAGTCGGGGAAGCCGGCTTATACTGTTTGCCAGGGTCGTAACACAAAAACATGGGTTTGGTTCCCCATCTAGAAAACCTGGTATGGTTCTTGTAGCAATTTAGCGCTCAAACCGGGCAGAGAAGCAATTCCTTCTGATCCTCCGGACTGACAATATTTGCCAGCAGGGGGATGACGATTGGTTGAGGATCGTGTCCTGGGATTTGGTTCTTGGCGAGAAACCCAATTCATGTCTTTAGTACAACTTGATCGTCCATAAAAGCGGCACAACCGTCCGCGAAGGACAGTGCGCGCCTAGCTCTGACCGGCACCTACCTGAGGCGAGGGCCAGTAGGAAGACTATTTTCCACATCAAAAATTTGAGTGGTGCTGATTGGAGTGGCTCAAAGGGTGGTCTGCTTAGAGCAGACAACACAGCCGACGAGTCCCAGTTGGGTGGCTCCCTTGTATGGGGTCTTGGCGCCTGGAAAGCAGACTCCTAATAATAGGACAATCAGCTAGTCTTGTTCCCAACGCTTGCTGCGTAGGACAAACAAACTTCGTCAAACAGGTGGACGAAGGAGCCTGCTACCTGGCCAATAGAGGGATGGTATGGATCAATCTCCCTTCCGCTACACCAGTCAGTGTATGCTTGCAGCCTAGAAATGTAGGCCGAGTAGGTGGAATCCCTGTTCGCCCTGGCCAGGACGTTGGCAGCCCACTCAGATAAGGCTTTCGTATGTGCAGGTCTACTGAGAGCCTTTATGCGTGTAAGTGATACCTGCTGGGCTCGTTGGTAGTTGGTACAGAAGTGGAAACTAGACCTTGCTTAGCCAATTGGGTGCAACCCATGATAATATGCGGATGTGCACCTGTCGAAGTTTTCTCCGGTGCCCGGTGAACTAGCGGGAAGGGAGGAAAGGCGTACACAACTAAGTGGGTCTACGGGCTAGCAAAGCGACCCTGGCCCAGGCTCCTGGAGTCAGCAGGAGTGTTACGTACGTCGGGAGCTTGACATTCCGGGGTGCTGCAAAACGGTCCAACCTTGGACCGTCCCACGGCCGAAACAGCCTGGAGGCTACCCACTGGGGTATCAGCTACTCCGTGTTCTGGAGACGGAGCCGCCCTGAAAGGGCGTCGCCAGACTGTTCCTCATCCCTGGAAGGTGGTGTGCGGTTAGCTCCACATTGTATTCCAGGCAACAAAGGAGGATTTTGCTCCGCTAGGACTGACAACGATGGGGAATGCGTCCCCCCTCCATCTTGAAGGAGACCATCGCTGCGTTGCCTGTGCGGAGCAGGACTCTGTGGTCTCGAACTACGGGTAGAAAACGTGGTAGTGCTAAGTACACTGCTCTCAGTTCGAGTCGATTGATATGGTAGTCCCGAAACTAATGCGGGGGCCATATCCTTGGGCTTGTTGGCCCAATAGATGCGCTCCCCAACCCTAGGGGGAGGTATCTGTTACCAGATTCATACCTGCGGCGAGCAGGCCCAAAGGGCTCCCCTGTCCGAGGTTGGCCAGTGACGACCACCAGGGCAGGGCTTCCTTCACTTGGTCCAAGATCGAAACCCGCCTATCTAGTTCACATAGGAGAGCTCGGCGTTATAACCAGCGTTATACCGGGCGGCTGCGTAGTGCGACCTGGGGAACGACCCTTCGAACCGAGGTCATCATTTCGATGATCCGCATTAGTTCACGGAGGGACACAGAGGGAACGCTGACTAGGCATTCGGCTAGGCTGCTTAGCGCTAAGCAATACGCTTGAAATAGCTAAGCCAAGCTTACCTCTGTGTCAAAACTCCATGCCAGGGACACCAACTGCACGTTGGGTCGAGGTGGGACTTGTCGATTTACTAATGAGCCCAACTGGTGAAGTAAATCCTGTGTTAGCCTGATGCATTTGACTATTACCCCTTGCCCGGGTTGTTGGTAACCGGAAGGTGTACCGACATCTGGTGAAGCAGCAGCACTACCTGTTTCATCACTCTGGTGAACACGTAGGGCGCTGTGCCTAACCCGAACGGGGGACACCCGAAATTCGAATACTTGGCTCATCTTAGCGATTGGAAGGAGATGGCAACTCGCTGGGTGCATCGGTACGTGCAGGTAGGCCCCGCTTAAGTCTAGCAGGGCTAGCCAGTCAAAACGGTGGATGGAGAGAAGAACCCTGAATGGCGTCTCCATGTGGAACCGATCAGGGAGCACGGACTGATTCAGTCTGCCTAGGTCCAAAACTGGCCTGCCACTTGTAGATTTGGTACTACGAACACATTTGGGTAGAAGCCTGGCCTTAGTTCCGGCTGATGTACCCTGTTGTATGGCGTCTTTCCCCAGCAAACTGCTACTTCCTGTCTGATTGCTTCCGCCTTGCGGGAGTCCCCTGGCAGTGCCCAAGAGGGGAGACATTGACGGGGGGAAATGGAGATTTCAGCGGTATCCCGTAAACGGATGTCACCACGTGGGAAGGTCCAGGGGTCAGTCACCCGCCAAACCGGACTACACCGGCGCAATCTGTGTACAACAGGGATATGTGGCCAGGTGTTGGGCAGTTGCGGGGGGGGGGGGGGGGGGGGTGCTGGTCACGCATAATAATGTGCTCAAGCAACTCTGCCCTCAGGGCTGGATGGGTCGTCTTCAATTGGCAAAGACACCCATGGAACGCGGCTATCCCCCTTTGCCCGGTTTGCCAAATTCGTGGTACCGGGGTCTGGGGAAGGAGCCTTGGAATCCGGTTGGGGGCGTTTTGGTCTCATCCCACGCTATGGGGTCTGATCCCGAAACCACACCGACCGGGTAGCGTTTGGTCCAGTGGGAAGTGTTGCCTAATGTTATCCCCACCCGGGGGCCTTAAGCATTACATCCCCCGCGGCTGACCAACGCTGCCCATCAACATCGTTTGCGTGCTCTGCGCCCCACTCCGCACTCAGGCGGTCAGGGAGAGACTTGCCGACTGGGTTGCTTTGGATCCCGACACCCGTATCGTATCACTGGGATCGATGATACTCCGCCTCACCTCAAAAGCGTGGCTCACCGAGTCATACAGATGGAAGACTCTGAGAGACTGCCCGGAGTACCGGCTGTATCCGTCGCGAGCGAACTGCATCTCCTTTCACTTTAAATATGTGAGAGGGAGCGTGTTCGACTGTGCGTCTCATGACAGGGTCGGTTCCATCTGGGGACGCCCGTGGGTTGGTAAGAAAGGAGTCAAAACCCACAGCGGGGACCGGACACAAGGATAAATTCGTTACCGTTGTACCGTTACCGTGTGACGAACCCTAGCTGGCTGAAAGTGGGGGGGTCAACACGTGCCCTGCCCTGAAAGCTCTGCAATTGCCCCGACAGTCCTTCGACCAGCCCTCAACTCAGAGGCAAACCCGGCGCCATGTGAGGAAGGGTCCACAAATAGGGGGAAAGCCTCCAGGGGCACAGCCTCGCTGCAGCCGGTAAAATCGGGTAAAACACCGCCTGAAAAAACAGACTGTGAGGATGCCCTCCGATCAGCGGGGGAGACCAAGAAAAATATCAGTACCTCCGCTGTCGGGCCTCTTACTCGACGTCCCGGTACATGAAGTATCGGTAGCCGAGCGTGAGGACTTTCCACTCATGCAAAACACGCAACTCACTTTAACTGATTTGTTTACTGGACGCACGACCTTGCTGTGACGCGGTCAGTCTCAGTGATTTTGATGGCTCTGAAAGAAAATCTCAGGCCTCCGAACTCCAGTGAAAAAAAAAAAAAAAAACGCTTTCACGCCAAAACCCCAAAACCTGCACGTAGCTACGACAAAGTATCTTGGATGCGGGTTCTATGCTGGTAAATTCTGAATATAACCACTGCACGGTCGACTCGAAACACGTGGAGACCGGAAAAAAAACAGCAGCGAGCCCTGGTGCTGTCATTACATCTATATATTGCTAAATACATTGAAAATAAAAGACGACATGCATGAGGGAAACGAATTACAGTTGTAAAAGGTGCCGCCATGAAAACCAACTGGTTACGTAGTGGCGCCGGATATTAATTTCTTTGTTGTGAAAAATACTACACACAAAGGGGAAAACGACACGAGGGTAAAAATGACAAGGAAAACGTATCCTACCAGCTACAATGTCAGATGCCGTGCAGCGGCAACAACCCAAGCTATAAATCTGGACAGGAAAAAAAGCAGGCGATCCAGCAGAGCTCGCTAGATTTCATCTCCACTCGAGGCGGAGAGAAAATAAGAGTGATGGACGGCTACCTGTGGCGCTGCCAGGTGGCCTCGGTCACGTGGGTTTGTGATGCAAGGAGTAAAAGAATCTTGAGATCATGGGGCTTCCCCTGACCTGGATTCTATCTCTCCGTCACAGTCGCTGATTAATGCCTACAGTTCAAAATAGTCATTTTGTCTGACCGGAGTCTATGGTGGGTAATTGAACGTAGTGAATTGGCCAATGCAGGTCACATGGACATAGTTAGGGATACCTAATATGTACGTGAACAAGATACTGCTATCATATCAAATATTCGTAAATTTTCGTTAAGCTATGGAATTTCAGAGAGTGGCCTAAAAACAGTGCGGTATAAAGACTTTTATTTTTGAAATTGTCCTCAAATGGTCTTAAATTAAACTATTTACCACAGACTTTATTTTACATTGCATGAGTCAACTTGAAAAAGCTGGTAGATTATACCACTACTTGTGTAGAGTTTTCAAGATTGAGATGTTAATACTACCGTACTTATCCGGGTAAGAGCCCATGCCTGGACAAATGCCCACCCCCACTTCTGACACAATAAAGAAGTTGATGTCATATCCGGACACATGCCCAGGGGGTCTTTTTCTACACAAAAAATAACAAAAAAATATTTTCTATTCGTTGACTGTGGTTGTATTAACAGTTGATTTTCTTGAAGTCTGTCGTGATGCTTATAAAAATTCTTTAAATATAATTGTTAATTGCGTAAAACAAGGGGTGAACGCAAAATAGCTGTGACAGCTTTTTGCCTTCAGGGCAGTACGTTCACCGCTGATTTTTTTTCAGAATCATAACAGTCAGCAAGTCTATAAAAATATATATTAAAGCAGAAACGGTAGTTCTCTTTTTGAAATATGTCGTGGTCGTGGTTTGGTTTGTGCTTTCCTAGAAACGATTCAAGCAAATTGTACAAGGAGAGCCGATAAGCAAGTGTCGCACTCGTTTGGCTTTAGCGTCGTCGACAATGAAACCAATGTTGCAATATTGTAGCAACCCGTACCTGGGAGAGTGGTTGAAATCACGTTATTTTGGCTTTATAAAATATTTGGTAGCGGTTGCGAATCCATAACTGGGGCCGGCAATTTTGCAATGTCACGCCGAAGACTGCCTACTTTTTTTACAATCTTTCATCGCCGCTATTGCATTTCTGTCATGAAAACTATTCTTCTGTCGTTGGATAAAAAAAAAACTTCCTATTTCAAGCCCTCTGCGATATCTGTATAGTGAGACATTCCAACAGCCGGAACTTGCTGAATGATAACTTTCACCGTGATTGATAAGCATCGAGTCTGATAAGAAAGCAATGTCACAATTTGACCTTTCTGATGAAATACTAGTAGTGATGTCATTCTTAGCCAATCAGTAAAGCAGATGCATAAAGGTCAAATATGATTGCCAGACTGTAAACAAAAGCATCGTGTGCCATCGCAGCAGAGCGACCCAATTTTTCTTGTCTCTTTATTGTGATTAGACATGAATGAAAAGTGCCAAGCTGACAGACTGCGAAATCCGTGGATTAAAAGTGCTAAGTACAAATTGTGTGAGACGATATCGACGAACTTCAGGAAGAAGTTGTAGGGATTTTGTTCGACGGCTACAGTGACGCCGTCTTGGACTTTCAGGGTTTTGAGTTTGACGAAGATGGCAATGAACGTACAAATAAAGATCTGAGAAATTTTTTCAAACAGCTATGAATTTTTATAATTTTTACTGTGTAAATTTGTAAATTATCATTGATCTTGTATGACAGTTGATTCGTAATTTGTCGAGACCGGAAATCATGGAGTCATACAGATGGAAGAATTTTATGCAGTTTAACCCCTGACATTTTAATTCATTTTGAGTTCACGCGTATTGGGCGTGTTTGTCGGCGGGAAAATCCTCATTCAAATGATTCCTCACTGTCGATTTGTATTATTTCTGGTTTATTTGTCACATTATAAGCAATACATTAATTTTGTTTTACTTCTGATGCATATTGTTAATTTATTTCCGCTGCATGTTTTCATTTGATGTTATAGTCCCTGCCGCAGTTCGATCTGCGTGTTGTCAATTTTTGTGAATTTTCTTTTTTTTTGCCGGGGATCTCCTGGCAAACGCCCACCCCTATTTTTTGGCAATTTTCCATGTTCAGGACCCTGGGCTTATACCCGGATAAATACGGTATTACAAGAGTTTTACATTACCTCAATAGGATGTTCTCTGCCCTCTATGTAAAGAACAGGTGCATTGTTAAAATATGTGGAGAAATGATCAACATCCATGGTTGCCGACATAACAATAACCTGATCAAATAAAATATATATACATATCACTGAACACGCTGAAGACATTTTGCTTCACGAGACATTATACTTGTTATATATCAATTTTGAGAGAATGCAAAATCACCAGCATAATTGCATCATGGAATATTTCAACATATACCATGCTAGTTTTTTAATCATAATCTTATCATAAAAATTAACTCAATCACATTTAACATAAGGTCATAGAATCATCAAAAAGACTAGTCTTTTCTGAATGAGTGGTCAGGCCAGATTAAAATATTTTGATTTTTGAATGAGTTTGATAACAGAGTTTGATAATCTCTAGTGTTTGTGATATGAAATGCGTGTAGTCCACTTTGATTTTGTCCAAAGTATTGGTCAGTTCTTAGAGTTTTTGTGTGAAAGATAACTGCTCCTTATGGTGATGTGCAAAAACTGATTGTAACAATTAAGAATAAAAGACAAAATATGAACATTTATAACAGAACAAACCTTCAACGGACATGCCTTCCCTTTTTTTCTTTTCTGTTGTGCATCTTTGATGACACCAAACAGCACGTCGGTGTGAATTGTTCTCTCGTGAGCTTCATCTAAAATCACCACAGCATATTTGGACAAGAGAGGATCCAAGATGGCTTCCCTTAGCAACATGCCATCAGTCATGTACTGCAAAGCATCATAAGGTAGTATTATACATCTGTCACTTTAATGCCTTATGTGGAAATTTTTCAGTACTAAAAGCGGTAATGGCATCCCACCTTATTGGAAATATGCATATTTGAAAAAGTTTCAAATATTCATTTTCTTGTTGGCGGACATATTTATTAACGAATTTCCTTCTGAGAAAGTGCCACTAATTTCCACATTTTTGCTCAGTTGGCAGCACACAGTTGGTTAAAATTAGGAATATGTATAGTAAGATATTACAAAGACACCACAAAATATGTGTTCAGTCAGTACATCGTCGCATCAACCTACACACCGGAAACATTAATTATTCTGATAATTTTTTCTCCACAAAATAGATTTTTAGTTTGAAGTGAATACGATATCAACTTCTCATGAATTGATTTTAATGAAAAATTGCAGCACTTACTTAGGTAAGGTAATTCTTGCCATAGAGGGCGTGCTTTAAATTAAAGTTCAAATGCTCGTAAAAATGGCTGATGCAAATTTTTTCCATTGTGCACCAGAAATACATTTTTTTATTCCTTAAATGGAAATCATGATCTCAAAAAAAATAACCTTGTTATTAAGATATTTTTTTAAATGTATATCAGGATTAAAAAAAACATTAAAGCGACAAAAGGTATGATTTTGAACATCCAATCCAATGAAAACGTGATGCACAACACACACTATTATAGAAAATGACCAATAAAATCATCAGTAAAAGATCATCAAAGCAAGGCTTAGCCTCTCAAGATGGCAACATATTTGACTTTTCGTCTTGTACTGTAATCACCGAGGTTCGCTTGATAAAACTGGATTTCAATAGAAGGCGCCCTCTGGAGACCTGGACCCAATCTCATGGCCATCTTTTTTTTAATTTGAAAGTGATTTAATGTGCAACGTTTTTATATAGCGTATAAGGCTTTTCAGTGTTCACATTTCAGCCATTACAATTTAACATTAATGACACAGGAATTGTTTCATTAAAAATAAAAATCAGAGCAAAAACAACAATTGTTGCTTTAACTAACCTTAATCTTGGTCCCTGGGGACGTCATGTCATCAAATCGTACACAGTATCCAACCTAATAGCAAACAAATAAGAAACCAATAAACCAAATTTTCGATAAACAAAAATATTAACTGTATTTGATAGCAATAATGAACTGTAAATAATCCCACAAAATACTATTATTTTTCTTGTCAAATTGTTGCTGTATTATTTTTAGGTATTTTTCTCAATAAATTATTTGTTACGTTTGTAAAAAAAAAAAATTACACAATTTTATTTTATGAAAGATCACAAAAGTTGACTGGCACTCAAAAGGTTAACATACATACATGTATAACTTGTATATTTATACATCTGTCACCGTAACGCCATACGTTACAGCGTGCCGGAATTTTGCGGTATTTTCATCCAACCATATTAAGGAAACGCAAATTCTAAATATGGAACGATTACGAAAATGTGTCTCTTGTGAAAAAGAATTGGTTTACAGACTGTAAACTGTTCACTACCAAATATATTTAGAGGTGTGCTCAGAATATGATCTGTACATTAACAGTTACATCTCCTGGTACCACTCTGAGGTACAAATTCACTATCAATGAGAAGTTCTCAATTATTTTCCAACAAAATGCAAGTACAAATTCAAAAACCAGTTAAACATAGCAAGATTGGGTTATAATATTGAAAATCTTTGCTGTGATAGCCCAAGAAATGACCAGGATGTGTGATCTTTAAAGGTCATGCATAAAATCCTTAGAGCATGCATGTGGCAATAAAGTTATAGATTAATTAATCTGACATGAACAAAACAAGTACATTACAGTCTCCTCCTTACAGTGTGTATCTGTATTGGATACAAATTATTGAATCTGTTACCTGTTTTCCTAGTTCCACACCCATTTCCATGGCAACCCGTTGGGCTACAGTGATAGCTGCTACTCTTCTGGGCTGGAATATACAGTAAAACAGAATATACATGTACATGTCTGACCATTGATAAAATGTTAGACAAATCATAGTCTTTGTTGTAATTAGCAGTTCCATATAGGAAATTATAAGATCAAAAAAAATTCATTATTACAAATTAATTATATGGAAATGATCAGTTACTTAATGTTGGTTTTGTTTATATATATATATATATATATATATATATATATATATATATATATATATATATATATATATATATATAAACATTTTTTTGTACACTATTATTTAGAGATAATTTTCTGTCAATACTATAATAATATTTAAATATGATTCGAGAAATTGTATACATCTAAAGAAATTATAAATTTACATTACTATTATTATAAATTATCATTTCAGTGTTCTCCCCAGGAATTTAAACCACTGTGGCCTAATTTGCTTATCATTTGCATATTATTTACATAATAGAAATTGACTAAAGCACCTTTACACCCACACAATAAACAACATATATTTTTAAAAACAAAGTGGCAGATATTTATTTGCTTCACACAGTGTTATAAACACTTTTATTTTGGGCACTTTTGTAATATTAATGAGCTTACGTTTCACAATTTAAAAGAGTTTGAATTTAAAAATGAAACATTCTCGAAATGCAAATGCTGCAGACTAAAAAGAAACAAATAAATTGTAAAAAGTTAAATGAAACTCATTTGAAACGTTTGAGCCAGGATTATGTTCACCACTTTCATGATCTTATTTACTACAAAATTCTCCTTCAAAAAATCGACCACGTAATTATTTGGCGGATTGTTGGTTATTATTCCGACCATCAGCTTCTAACGTTTACATTTACAGTAAATGAACGAACAAATAACACTTCCAAACGATCAAAGTTACGACGTGACATAACTTACTTCGCGATGTTATACACCGGTTATACCAATAATTTCTCTTACTCAGTCATGATGCCATGCAAAAATTAAATACTTCTTTTTTTTATATGAAAAAAACTTGAGCTAGTTTTATCGGAAGAAATTATTTTTGATCACTCGCTCACTTCGGTGAAAAACATGACCCGCCATGATAGTTATGACGTATTAGTTGACCGGGATGTGTTCTTTGACCCGGCGGGTCTTAAAACGCCATTTACCAATCAGAATGCCGCATGGTAATGTCGGTAGAACATGAAGTTTTCTGAATGATCGTGATCATAAAAATTACATTACAACACGATGTGTTGGTATGAATTTCAGATGAAAACTGCATGATGGTTTTCGAAAGAGGTGATTAGAAATTTTTAAAAGGTAAAAAAAGTATTGAAAGAAGAGTTTTTACATAATTCACGATGATAACAGTTGAAATGTATTTTACCAGAGGTACCATACTTGGGGATTGCAACGCACCGTAGTTGCAAACCCTAAGTAATGAACCTCTGATTTTACCCAATAACGCAATAAACACGTTTTTTTCTTGAGTGGCGTAAACTGATCGTGAACTCCGATTTGCCCATGTTATATCGGGTGGAATTGATTTTGAAAGAATTTTAGCTTTCAAACTAAAGACTGCGTCTATCGTCAGAAAGTATTTACTTACAAACAAAGAGGTGCTAATTTTACAAAATTGACTTGTATTGTTCAAAGCCGCTACCACATCACGCGACTATGTCTATTGTTTACAAATTATTATCCACGACTGGCAGGATGCGTGTTGGTCGGTACGTAAGTATAATAACAATATGACAATAGTCGGAAGCGTTAATTTTGAATGCCGGTCAGGCCGACCAGCGAGACGAGATCCCCCAATGAAAAAAAGCACTGTGGCGGTCTTGCTAATCACCATGGCGGTGTCAGACCGGTGTGGCAGCAAATCGAAGCACTGTGGCGGGACCGCCATGCTGTTTACATTCTGGGGAGAACACTGCATTTATTTACAAACCAAGGATCTACATATTATATTCTTTATTAATTTTTATGGGAATTGTATACACACTGAATGTAAATAACAAAGCAAAACATTACCAGTATATGCAAACCATGGCGTTATTTATAATAATTTGAACCTTTGATATAAATATGGTCTAATTCCATTGTGCTTGACTATACATTGTCTTACCTGAGTGCAGGCAATCATACCTTCCCTTGCCATGCCTGATTCATAGAGATACTGAAATGAAACAGTAGATTATTAATTGCAGTGTTACAGCTGCTTCATCTCTATTCACAATATGGTAGCAGTGATTTAGATTATGTATTCCTTCTCATGCATGCTAAAGAGATGGTCTAGCTACTTCAGCTAAATTTATTATATGTGATTGGTATTATATTTTCTTGTGTATAAATTTATGTGAATAATTAATACATTAGCCTGACAAGGTCATGTGAGTTGTGCGCTCCGAGGTGCTCGAAATCCAACACACGCCTGACAGAGCGATGTAGCTTTTCCCTCCCCCAACAATTTTTTGTCGGTACCAATCAAATTGCAGGAACGTCAGATAGTGACAGCCATCAAAGAGTAACCATTCAGAGCAGAGTTTATTTGTTTGTTGACATAATGTGTGATAAGATGCTGGCAAATTTCAGTCTATGATTTTTGCTGACAATGCAAACACAGCTTTGATGGTGTTACCATGACCACAAAAATGAATATCCATTGAAACTCATTGCAAGAAGGAGTGAACTTTGCGAGTTCGCAGTATTGACATACACTATTCTGTCAGGCGTTAGTGGTGTCTGATGCTGTTCAGCCGGCGAGGGCGCCACTAACGCTTACATGTCAGGCTAGAAATACATTACTCATTGGTTTTAAATTTTGCTACATTTGCTGATAAGCAAACTTTCCCACATTAAATCCACCTGTAAGATAACCATACAACTCATTGTTTCCCTGGCATGTTCGTGAACGTAAATCCCAGTGACAGTCCTACTTATGGGTTTCCCGCACCCTCACGTATGTCGTGAGGGGACATGTACATTTGGGTCATTCCAGTTTTTGTCCATTAAGGTTATGACACCCTATGGATTCAAATCCACCATTCAGTTGTCGGATTTTTGTTAACTAACATCCTCCCCCTGGAAACTTTACTGATTTGAAGTATACGGATGGGTATGTGAAAAAATTAAATATATAAAAAATATGACACCTCTCGGAATTAAAACATCCATACTTTTTGTAGAAATATGACCCCTCGGATTTAAACCATCCGTGGGGGGGGGGGGGGGGGGCAAAACTGGAATGACCCCTTACAAATAACACGCCATTACGTTTGTTTACATTCAAAATGTCAAAACTCCACGTTAGTAAATAATGAAACAAACAATATCAGTGACGTACCTGAGGTATTTGAGTAGTTTTTCCACTTCCTGTTTCACCTATAATAATTGCCGATGACGTTTTTCTTATTTCGAGATTCAGTCGGCCTCTAGCCGAGTAAATGGGCAAATGACAACGCTGTTGACGTAATGACTCCGCGCTTTCGCCAGTCATATTGCTACCTGAATAGCGTCTTTTTTTCTTTGGCGGCTCCCCACTCATCCTGAGAATTGTTTAAAGTTCCCTAGAAAGGTATAACTAGCATTACAAGTAACATAAATAACAAACGTTTTAAATTTGCTACAGCTAGCAAAAACACATGGGCGCAGCCATATTAGACGGTCCCCTCAACTTTTTCAAAATTTACAACACCAAATTTCAGTGCAGTGCGCCACCAAGCGATGAATAACAAACTCGATTTTGACGTTTATACACTGATACAAAACACTGCATACATGTAAAGGAATATTGTTTTTTCGAGACAAATTCTCATAAATATCGCAACTGACTATCTACAAAGTTAATCAGTACTGAGAAAGAATTGTAAACTCACATTTACAGCTTAATACTTATTCACTGAACACTACACCATTACTTTAGTAACTCGTACTAATACACAACATTATGTCATGCCATCTCTCAACAGTAACTCGTACTAATACACAACATTATGTCATGCCATCTCTCAACAGTAACTCGTATCCCATGTCATCTCAACAGTAACTCGTACTAATACACAACATTATGTCATGCCATCTCTCAACAGTAACTCGTACTAATACACAACATTATGTCATGCCATCTCTCAACAGTAACTCGTATCCCATGCCATCTCTCAACAGTAACTCGTACTAATACTCAACATTATGTCATGTCATCTCTCAACAGTAACTCGTACTAATACACAACATTATGTCATGCCATCTCTCAACAGTAACTCGTACTAATACACAACATTATGTCATGCCATCTCTCAACAGTAACTTGTATCCCATGCCATCTCTCAACAGTAACTCGTACTAATACTCAATATTATGTCATGTCATCTCTCAACAGTAACTCGTACTAATACACAACATTATGTCATGCCATCTCTCAACAGTAACTCGTATCCCATGTCATCTCAACAGTAACTCGTACTAATACACAACATTATGTCATGCCATCTCTCAACAGTAACTCGTACTAATACACAACATTATGTCATGCCATCTCTCAACAGTAACTCGTATCCCATGCCATCTCTCAACAGTAACTCGTACTAATACTCAACATTATGTCATGTCATCTCTCAACAGTAACTCGTACTAATACACAACATTATGTCATGCCATCTCTCAACAGTAACTCGTACTAATACACAACATTATGTCATGCCATCTCTCAACAGTAACTCGTATCCCATGCCATCTCTCAACAGTAACTCGTATCCCATGCCATCTCTCAGCAGTAACTCGTATCTCGTGCCGTCTCTCAACAGTAACTTGTATCCCATGCCATCTCTAAACAGTAACTCGTATCTTATGCCATCTCTCAACAGTAAATCGTATCTTATGCCATCTCCAACAGTAACTCGTATCCCATGCCATCTCACAACAGTTACTCGTATACCATGCCATCTCTCAACAGTAACTCGTATCTTATGCCATCTCTCAACAGTAACTCGTATCCCATGCCATCTCTAAACAGTAACTCGTATCTTATGCCATCTCTCAACAGTAACTCGTATCTTATGCCATCTCTCAACAGTAACTTGCATCCCATGCCATCTCTTAACAGTAACTCGTATACCATGCCATCTCTAAACAGTAACTCGTATCCCTTATGCCATCTCTCAACAGTAACTTCGTATCCCATGCCATCTCACAACAGTTACTCGTATACCATGCCATCTCTCAACAGTAACTCATATCCCTTATGCCATCTCTCAACAGTAACTCGTATCCCATGCCATCTCTCAACAGTAACTCGTATCCCATGCCATCTCTCAACAGTAACTTGCATCCCATGCCATCTCTCAACAGTAACTCGTATCACATGCCATCTCTCAACAGTAACTCGTATCCCATGCCATCTCTCAACAGTAATCCGTATCCCATACCATCTCTCAACAGTAACTCGTATCCCATGCCATCTCTCAATAGTAACTCGTATCTTATGTCATCTCTCAACAGTAACTCATATCCCATGCCATCTCACAACAGTAACTCGTATCCCATGCCATCTCTCAACAGTAACTCGTATCCCATGCCATCTCTCAACAGTAACTCGTATCCCATGTCATCTCTCAACAGCAACCCGTATCCCTTATGCCATCTCTCAAAGTAACTCATATCCCATGTCATTCTCTCAACAGTAACCCGTATCCCATGTCCATCTC